AAAGAGGCTACTGCCCAAGGGGTCACATTGGTAATGCTTCCCAAGAGTCTAGAGACCCTGGTGAGTCCCCCGCTTTCAGCTCTGTGGTACCCCTAACCCTGTCCCTTCCCATCTCAAGCAACCTAGCCTGTGATACCCACTACAAACCTAAAGCTTTGCCTCTGGACCTAAGATCTGCCAAGTGCTAGCTTGGGGTCCTCAGCGCTCCTGCTTCCCAGGAGAGAATGGGGCTCCCAGAATGAAGCTGTGGCCCAGCAGGCCCTGGGGGAGATCCCTAGGACTGAGTGTGGGGAAGACCAGTTTCACTGGCTAAGTCGAACACCATGAAAATCCCTGGAGTCTCGCCATGTGCTGGTCTTGTAGCATCCCCCTGATCAGAGCTATGTGTGAATGAGTCAAGCCAGGGTCTAGTTGTAGCCTAACATCAGGGAGCAGGTGAATTCATGATGGGGCCCAGGCACATAGCACCATGGATCCTAGTCACACAGCACACCAGCCACACGGACCTCTTAGATCTCTGGCAGCTTCCCTTTAAGACACACGCGCAGTCGCTGCTTTCCAGAGCCACCGCATCTGGAACGCATCTCTCCGCACACCTGTAGCCCAGCCCCTCCTGAAATATTAACCTGACTCTTTATCAATGTTTCATTTGTTGTGTGCTCCGCATCACCCCTGCGACCCATTTCTCACATTCCAGCCCGGAGCATGAAAAATGGATGCTTCACTCCACCTGCCCTGGCGCTTTGGCCCAGGTTTGGGACTTAACAGGGAGTGATCTCGTTCATATGTTCTTCCAATCATCCAATTCCCCAGGCCTTCAGCATCGCCTGTCCCGCTGGGCTTATTATTACCTTGCTTCTGCTTTTTCCACGGGACTCTGTGCGGTCTGCATTCCTGGCGGGCAGAAGGGGCTGTGTTTGGCCACGGGGGCTCAGAGATTCTAACCTACATGCCCAAGGTCACACAGTGAATGAATGGTCCATTGTCTCCAAGGGGCAAGAGTCAGCTCTGAGGGTTGTTGTTCTTAGCACAGGGTACCTCTACTTCCTTCCCCCCTCCATTAGTATCCCCCTAACCCTGAATTCTCTACAGAAGGGGATTGGTGGCCCCAGCCCTGGTCTTTTTGTCTGGTGGTAGAAATAAGAGAAAGGCAGGAGGAAGCAGAGGCCACTGAAGTAGTTCCTCAGCTTAAGACCTTCCGTGGCTCCCTCTTCCACTCCCACCCACCTTAGCTTTGTAAGAAAGTTCCTTCAAAACATGCTCACCTTACCTTATCTCCCTTGTCTCTCATTACTTCCTCTGCAGTGGGTGGTCCACCTTCCTAGGTCCCTGCTGAGGAGCTCTTTAGAGATGTTTCCTCCTGAGCCAGGCAACAGTTTCTGCAGTCATTAAGAATTTCTGATGCCTGGGGCTAGCAGGCCCAGGATGGAGCCTGGGCTTTGGCATCGTATCCCTCAGGATCCTTGTCAACTGCCATCTGTAGGAACAGCAAAACCAGACTAGACAGGCTCTCAGAGGCCCACAGCTAGCTTTTCCCAGGCATAGAAGTTTCCAAGCCTCATTTTGCATCCTCTCTGACCTTTGCTCCTGCTTCTGAGAGCGGGGCTGTTTGTTTCCCAGTACGAGGGGACCTGCTTCCCCACAAAGGCGGAAGCAACCTTCCCAGCTGGTCATTTATGTTTTCATTAGTCTGGGCTCGGAGGAACCACAGAGAGTCACCACCTTTGACTCTTGGTGGTCAACTGTCCCTTTGTGGACCTCCCAAGTGGCCACCCTGCCGCGCCTGCCAGGTTGCATACCCTTGTAAAGCCTGTGACCCTGACTTTGACCTCAACCTCTCAGCACAGAGCTTGTGATCTCAAGACTGTGGCCCCTCCATAGCTCTGAGGCAAGACTAGACTCCAGAAAGATGCTGACTACCTTAGGGAGCTGAGGGTAGGCCTGGGCCTGGAAGCCAGTTCCTTGAGTTTGCAGTGAGGATGGCTGCCATGTTTGCAGGGACTGTGATCCAGGGAGCACCTAGCACTGTCTTCCCAACCCCAAGGAACAGCAGCACTGTGTTAGGGACCAACCACAGCACTCACTCTCACTTGCTTGTGCAACTGAATAAAGCTGCACACGCATTGAAGCGAAGGGCAAAGGGTGGTGCCAAAGGCTGGGCGCAAGGCACACAGGTGTCCTGTTGTGTGGCAGGCAGCTATGGCTAACAGTACTGTATTAAAAAATAAACCCCCAAGAGGGGATTTAAAATGTTATCAGCACAAAGACTTGGTAGGAGCTTGAGCGGTGGATATGCTAACTATCCTGATTTGATCACTGCAGTGTGTATATTCATGTCTCTAACATCATGTATACCCTGAGGATAGGTACAGTTATGGTGCCAATTAAAAACAAAATCATGGGCTGGGGACACTGTTCAGTCAGTAGAATGCTTGTTTAGCATGCACAAGGCCCTAGGCTTTATCTCCAGTCCTGCATAAGCCCTGTGTGGTAGTGCATGCAGAGGCCTGAGGGTCAGAAGTTCAAGGTCATCCTCAACTACATAGTCATTTGAAGTCAGCCTGGGACACATGAGACCCTGTCTCGGGAAAAAAAAATAGGGTTATCAAGATGGCTATGAAGTTAAAGGTGCCTGCAATCAAGGCTGACCACCTGCCTTTGGTCTCCAGAACTGCAAGACACAAGATGTAGAGGGAGAACTGGCTCCCATACATTGTTCTCTGGCCTCCACAAGTACCATGGCACAAACATGTATGTAAACACACACACAAAAATGTAAAATTAAAATAAAATATTAACAAACCCGGAAGACAACCAGCTAAAGTCATTCTTGCCAGGCAGCTCTGGAGACTCAAGAACAGCGGTTCTCAACGTCCTGGTCACAGACTAGCAAGCTGGATGCCACCTGGGAACACACTTGGGAGAACATTTTCCAGGTCCAGTCCCGAACTAATGGATCAAAGTCTCTGGGGCCGGAGGCCAGCAATCGTGTGTTAAGTCTCCAGGTGATCCCAATGTCAACATAGAGTCCAGAACGACTGATCTAGAAGGAGGCAGGAACGGCCATCTATAAACACCTTCCTGCAGAGTTCTGCCTGCCGGCTTGCCTGCCTGTCCACCTCCTGCCAGCCCTCCTGCCCACTGACCCTTGGAGGGCTTGTCTCTCCATGCAAACCTCAAACTGAAGCAGGTCTCCAGTGAGAGGCTGGAGTGATCTACATCCGTGTGAGCCAGTGGGCTTCCTGGGCCTCTTGTCCATGGGCAAATAGAGCCGATTAAATTGGGAAAATGGCCCTGCCCACTGTGACACATGAGTGATGGAGACCGATGAGCGTGAGAGTCTGGGAGAAGCTGTGACACCAGACTTGGTGTCACCTCAACAGAGGTTGGTCAGGAGGAGTAATAATTGGCTTATTGACTAGCTGCGGCTTTGGGGCGAGGGAAAAGGACCACTTGCCCTTATCATGAGGTTTTTGTGTGGCCAGGCATGGAATCGAAGCTAGAGGGGTGCAGACGGCACCAGGATCAGGCTGGCATCCTGGTAGCCTCTGGTATGGCCTGGGAAGGAAGCTGAGTGTCACTGAAACCCAAAGCTGGCAGACAGGGTGAGGCTGTGAGGCTGGACCCCGAGTGCCTGGGGGCAGGTGCCTTGGTACCTGTCCTCCTGTACCCTGGTCTGGGTGGTCTTGGATGGGTGGAGGTTAGCTGGAGCTAGAGGCAGTGTTGGCTTTGGGCCCTGAAGTGAGGCCCCTGGGACCTGTCCTCCAGCTCCCAGAAGGGCTGACAGCTACGGTAAGCATCAGGGCAAGGATTCTGGGAAAGGATCCAGACCAGGTTCACAAACTTAGGCTCTAACATTGGAACCAAAGGCTGCCTTGGAGGAGAATTTTCAGGGCTTTTCAGTCATGTTTTTGGTTCGATGGGGAGTCGTAGGCACTGGTAGCCTTTTTGTCTCTGAGGCTACCTCGTTCTGGTGTGTGGGCCCTATTTCAAAATGCCTTGGGGGAGGTCCAGAGCCTGATCCTTGAGAGTTCCCTGAGAACTGGCAATGGGGAGGACTTCGGGTAGAGCGCTCAGGTGCTGGGAAGCAGGCTGACCATCACAGTCCTCTAACTCCCGAGACAACAATGGAGAGGATCCCACTTGGTATCAAAGTCTCTAGCAAGGCTCCTTTGATGAGACCGACACCAACTAGATGCTGGAGGCTACAGATGCCCGTGACCTTGGGTCGCAGAGCAGGGAAGAGGCAGGGCTGGGTATGACAGAGATGAGTCTGTTGCTGGGATTCATCCTGCCTCTGCTGCGCTCTTAGGCTACATCGCTGGGTGGGGTGACTGTGAGAACCCTGAAGGTGGTCCATCTTGGCTCTGTTCTCTGGAAACGGTGCTGCTGTGAATAGCCAGGCTTCTCCCCCTTCCCCAGGGATGCTGAGCTCTCCCACCACATCCCCACTTCTAACCACTCCTCACAGAGAGGTATAGACTCTCCAAGCCAGCTTCGTAGGGCCTGGGGATTTCCTATCTCTAGCCTTTTTTGACCTGGCTTCTATTCTTAGACACAACTGTCCTCTGGATGGTACTGGTGACAGTTACACAAGACCATGGAAGAGGCAAGCCTTTGGGCATGTTGAATAAGGGTTACCTGTGTTAAATTGATTGAGATGAGAAGACTCACTGTGGTGTGGGAGAATTGTCTGTATTCTGTCAATCATATTTTAATAAAACGCTGATTGGCCAGACAGGCAGTATAGGCGGGAAAGCCAGACAGGAAGTAGAGGTGGAGCAAAGAGACTGGGAGTATTCTGGCAAGCAGGAAGCTCCCTCCCCAGTTCTGCCCAGACCACCGGAGAGGAAAGATGTAAGCTGCCCCACTGGAAAAGGTACTGAGCCATGTGCTAATGTAGATAAGGATAATGGGGTAACATAAGTTGTAAGAACTATTAAGTAGCCTGGCCTAATGGGCCAATCAGCTTTATAATCTTATGGAGTCTTGTGCGTGATTTTTCTCTGGGACTTGCCGGCTGTGGGGTATTGTGCAGGACAGATACCCCAACAATCCGGCCCTCGTGTTACATCACTGGGGTCATGGTCCTGGACTCAGAAAAGGCAAGCAAGTGTTCATCCCTGCTTCCTGGCTGTAAATGTAAGGTCCCCTGTAGCTTCATGCTTCTGCTGCTGTCTGTGACTCCCCTAACATGATGGACTGCACCCTCGAATTGTAAGTCAACGTAAACTCTCCCTTAAGTTACTTTGGTCATGCATCTTGTCTTGGCATTATGGAAAGTATATGTGTTTACTCTCTCCATCTCAGCAACCCCCTTATCACCTGCTTTGTCTGTCCCAGCTGCTAGGAAGCCACTGTGTTTAGTCTCCTCTCGCTCGGCCATCTTCGCTGTATCCATTGCTCGGCCATCTTCCTGTCTCACTGCATTCCACTGCGACCCTTACCCCTTGGCCAGTCTGTTGTCTGCTTCCACCTCGGTGACCAGGTCTAGTGAGCCTAGGTGACCTAGCTGTGCTCCTCCTCACTCACTTTCCACGGATGCTGGCTACTGTCCAGTGAAGTCTGACCACCCATCTCCAGGTAACTAGATGGAGCACCCAGGAAGTAGGTAGGTGGAAATAGCTTCCTGGGGCCAGTTTTTCCCCTGGCTGCCAGGGAGAGGGGTAGAAAAGGCCAGCATCAGGTTGTAGCTGGCCAGTCCTGGAGAGTACAGTTGTTAAAATAATGGTGTCCTTGTCAGGGGAGGGAGGCCTTGATTGCTGCTGGTAGGAAGGCAGGCCCCTCAAGGTGCATTTAGGGAGAAGCAGAAGTCAAAACCTTTCATCTTTTCATGCTGTGCCAAGCTGTTGCTGCCCTGAGATGGAGCCAACCCCTCCATTGGTCCAGCCAGCTCCAAGCAATAGGCTTCCTATTCTCTCCCCTCCAGTTCACCAGCCACCTATAGGTGCGGTCCTGGCATGGGGAGCTAGCAACGGTGCACAGCATCTTTAGTGTGGGGACCAGGTCTAACCTTGTCCCTCCAGTACTTACCAGAGAATAAAGCTGCATTCGTACAGTGTGGCTCTATGCTGGCGTGGGCCAAGAGGGAATAGATGCATGTCACACAACAGCAAGGAAGTCACTGAAAGTGGCTGGAGCTCGCGCGACTCTGTGATTTATCGACTCCTTCACCATCTACCTGGGAAGTCCTTATGCCTCCTTTCTTGTGGGCAAGGCTGTCTGACCAGTTTGGAAAGCTCTTGACCATCCTGTAGCCAAAGGTGGGTCCCATTCTCTTCCTTTTAAGTTTCTGACTTGGCCAACATGTCCAGGACTCCAGAAGCCTGTGCTCTGTTAGGAGGTTATCTGAGTCTGGAAAGAACAGCTGCTGTCTGAGTCCAGCAGACCCCGTCACCCAGAGGGTGAAGAGAAGATGGGTAGCATGGTCCTGAGCTCAGAGCAGAGGCTGACACTAGAGACTTCTCAGAAGACCGGGCTCAGCCTCCAACTTGGGAGTAGCAGCCAGAAGCCTGTCTGGGAGAGGCAGCCAGCAGCTGTCACCCACTTGGGGGTTATGGGGGGAAAAGACACAGGGCCTGGGCATATGTACACACAAAGGAAAATGGAAGGTTGAGAAAAGGATGGAAGAATCCTCTGATCTATGGGGTGACGTGTGGTTAGCTGAGGTCTTTGGGATGCGCCATCTGGAAGCTTTCTTGGTGGCTTCAGCTTGTCCTGTACCTTGGGCTTCGGTGGGCTCAGCTAAGACTATGTCAGCGACAGGGCTCTGTGGCTGTAGCCAGCCAGTGATCAGACGGGACTGGAGTGGGGGGTGAGGTATGGTGGGAGCATCTTTCCTTGTCATCATCACTATGGAGACTGTCTCAGAGTAACAGGCCTCTCTGCCCCGCTGCTAACAGCCTAGGAATCTGACTGTGGGACTGTGACCACCAGCTTGTCTAACCGGAGAGGCGCCATTAGGTGATGCAGACGAAAATACCACAGGTGTCTAAGGTGCCAGGCAAAAAAACGTTCTGGGGCAGAGATCCTAAACCTTGTCTGAGAACAGGGCCCATCTGTTGGCAGAGTGGGTGCTGTGGCTCCACCCCTCGCGGCTGGGCGGGACTGGTTTTGAAGGCTTTCTTCTTTAGTCTTCTGCTTGTTTCTCAACAACACAGGCTTGGAATAAGGCATGCTGCGAGGTACAGACGGCTTCCTCTGATGCCAGCTACTCCCGAGTGAGATAACCTGGAAAGGAAATCAAACAAAACGGGCTTCTAGATCTGCTTTCTGACGGCCATGCTAAGACGGAGTTCTGGCTTTTCATTTCTTACAGTTTAGACGTCCCCCTGGGATGATTTCCTCTCAAGGCTGAGATCACTGCTGAGCGAGGGTCTCCACACTGTGGAGACTGCACTTTGGTTATCAGTTTTGAAGAATGCCTTGGCTAAATGTGTAGAAATATTTTCACGTTATAGATCATTGAAAATATTTTAATAAGATGGAGGAATTGGTTCTTATATATTTCTAAGCAAAACATAATTGAGTTCTGCCAACTCAGGGCACTTGATGCTGTCACCTGCTGGCAGCCCAGGATGAGACTGTGCCTGAGATCGTGCCTGCAGGGGCATTCGGGTCTGGGGCTAGTTTGTATGAAGGAAACTGTGGTCATGGCTTCCTGGCTCCTAAGGTCTGACAAAGGTGTCAGCTTCTAGTGTGGCATCTTGACTCTTGTTCGATGCCTCTACTGGTTTTTCTTATGCGTTAACTCCAGAGAGCTAAAGGTCATGCTGGGCAAACGCAGTCACTGAAGCAAGCAGGTGTATCAAGCTTTAACGATCTTTCTGGCAAAATGGATGGGGCCCTGGGGATTGAGTTCGGGCTAAGTATAAGTGAGGTAGCCAGTTAGTGTAAGAGTGACATTCACTGGAGACAGGGAGAGCCGATAGAATGTCAGAAGTCACAGGACTGGTAAACAGGTCACAGGAAGAAGCACAAGTATTCAGCCTCACAACCAAGGGGAGCGCAGTCGTGTGGGTTAGCAGGTGTTTGAGAGACTCCAGTTTCAGAGTCATGGGAAATAGCCTGTTTCAGTCCTGGGCAAGCATGGCCCACAGTGCCCCTAGGTCACTGGGATATGGACAGCAGGGTCTGGACAAGCAAAGTCATTCCTAAGTCTGTGTCCGGAAGGAAAGCATTGACTCGGAAGAATGGTTACAGTCAACTAAAGGAATGGCAAAGGTACCTGGATATGGTATGAAAGAGCCCAAACTTGATGACCAGGAAAAGTACAGGTAATGGAGCAGAGAGGCAGGGGTTAGGTGGACAGGTGGTCAATGGGGTGGGGCTTCAAGATAGGACACATGAGGAAGGGAGGGGAGTCTAGAATGGGGGCACCCATGTGGCTTACTGAAGTGTGTGATTTGGCACCCTTTAGATGCTGTTAAATCAGTGTAATAGAGGCTGGATTAAAGACATCGGAATAGAGGGTGAATGACTTTAACAAAAGCGGTGTTCTGGTGGCTTGCTCACAGTAGAACACGCCTTTTGACAGGTAGTGGGGAGATGGGCTGTCAGAATCAACCTTAAGGCCCAGATGGCTTTCCATCTCTGTAGTCTCCCTCCTGGCCTCCTTATATGGACAACCCTCCACTTTTGGTCAAACTCATGGTATCTCCTTTGTGTCCCTCCTCAGTGTCCCTCACACATTTCTCATGAGCTGCACCTGGCTCGAGACCAGATTCAAGCTCAACTGTTGATGAGAGCCCTTGATGAGACCGCAGGCCTTTCAAGGAGTGTGTACCATCCAACTGTGACTCATAAACACAGTCACCCGGCTCTACTGTGTCACAAGGATTCCAACGTGGCAGCGTTCTACAACTGTCTAAAAGTTTATCCCATTTTAATTTATTAATTAAAAAATTCTAAATTAAAAAAATAGTTCCATTATTTTCCTCTTCTCTCCTCTCTCTTCCCTCCAGTCTCTTCAGGTATTCCCTTTATATCTCTCAAATTCATGGCCTCTTTTTAGTTGTTACACACACACACACACACACACATCTAAATATATAACTATAACCTGCTCAGTCTATGTAACATTACTTGCACGCATATGATCTCAGGGCTGACCACTTTCAGGACTAGGATCTCAGGATTGACCACTAGGTATTGGATAACCATCTGTGAGGCTCATTTCTCATCCCCAAACTTTCCTTAGTTGTCTGTAGTTCTTTGTCTAGGGTTGGGACCCCATGAGATTTCCTACTTTTATGTTTATTGGTGTTGATCTTATTCAGCCCTTGTTCAGGCAGCCATGTTGGTAAGATTACATGGGTGTAGCTTCTCTGACTTTTCTAGGAATGTTCCATTCCTCTGGCCTTTACAATCTCTCTGCCTAGTTCCTCCACAATATTCCCTGAGCCTTAGGTACAGGATCATCTATCTTTTTAAGCCAGAAAGGACTCAACGTTATTTTCACATCTTGGCCAAACACATTTGGGTATTAGTTACTAGAGTTTCAGTCTGGTGTCTTGCTGTGAAGAGATGTCATGACCTTGGTAACTCTTATAAAGGAAAACATTCAATTGGGGGCTTGCTTACAATTCCGAGGTTTAGTCCATTATCATTACAGCAGGGTATGGTTGGAGTGCAGGCAGACAGGGCATTGAAGAAAGAACTGAGAGTCCTACATCTTGATTCATAGGCAACAGGAAATGAACAGAGTCACTGAGTATAGCTTGAGCATAGGAGACCTAAGAGCCCACCCCCATAGTGACATACTTCCTCCAATAAGGCCACACTTTCTAATAATGCCACCCCCTTTGGGGGCATTTTCTTTCAAACCACCACACCCGGTAAAGCAGAGCAGATTGCTGTGTTCACAGCTATGGTTCTGTTTAGAGCAGATGTCATGGAGACCACTATTCGGGAGTAACTGGATGTGGCATTGTAGATGTTTAAATTGGACCCAAAGAACATGGATGGAATACCTCTATATGAACTCACAAAGTAGGTAAATGTGACTAATTTGTGTAGGTCAGAGCTGCCTGAAGTGTGATGATCAACCTTTGAGAAGATAATAGGCAGGAGACAAACCTCCCCTGAATAATACCACCTGGCTTAAAGAAGGCAACTTCTGGTAATTTCTGTAATATCTGTGTTTAAAATTAGAATACTGAGGAGGAACCAGACCTTGTGGTATTGGTCTGTAAAGGCAACACTCAGGAGGCTGAGGCAGGATACTGGTGAGTTCGAGGCCAGCCTAGGCCATGTAGCAGCATTCTGGCTTACAAAATAAACAGTCTTAGAGTAAATCAGAGAAATAGTTCTCATGAACCAGGGACATGTTTGTCTTGACTCCTAAAGTCATAAGCTAGACTGTATTGTAGTTTACCTCACATTCATACCTTGGACTTGTGTTAAGTTCTAGTCAACAGACTAGACCAGAAATGCCTCTGACTTGAAAGTCCCGTCCCCCAACCCTCCACAAATCTTATTTTCTTCCTCATCTATAGTGGAAACTGAGGATGCAATGCAGGGAAGAGCCACAATGTGGAAGGAGGCTGGGCTCCCAACCAGGTACTAAAGATTCTAGTAAGAATATCTACATTATTCTGTGAGGGGAAAGTACAACTCTGTAGCCACTTAGATGGATTATTAAGTCAGTTAGTACTGATTACAACAGGTTATATAAATCAGTCTGCTGAGCATGCAACACTTAGTTGCCTTAAGCTTGACTAAATTATTCCTTCTGAGTCGACTCAGTTTTCAGTGTTATATGTTAAAAGTATCCTAGTTCATGGGAGAGGATAGAAGGGGAGAAGGGATGAAGGGAGGGGAGCAGAGAAAAAGGTATAATGCAATAAAAGCAAAACAAAAGTAACCTAGTTATTATAAAGTCTCAGAGCAGCTGAGCAACTTCAAAGGATGTTGAATCTAAAACCATGATAGGAGATTTGGTGTACTCTGGCAGAAGGCTTCAGGTTGGGGTAAGAAAGCAAGCAAATTTTGGGAGATACTATAGGAGGTGAGTTTAGTCTGAGATTCCCCCTTGAAGGCTGGCACCCTAGTAGGGAGAAGTCACAATGTTGCAACTTATCCCCTCGTAGGTAGGCTCCTTATGGATACTCTCCTGCTTCAACTCAAAATAATCCCCACCTGTGAAGGCCATACAGAGTTCTGGGTTGAAGCAGCCATCAAAACCCTACTTGTTCCTTTGAGAGCAGCTCTCTTAGCTTATTGAATATTCCAGAAATGTATTCTTGAAGCTTTCCTTCTTCCCAGGAGGTACCTAAGTCTTGGAAAGTGTACTTTACCCATCAGGGAGGTCATGAGACATTGCTTGGTCTTCCGTTCACACTGTGCATCCAGCAAAGGCCCAGGGAACACCTCAGTCTCCACGCCTTGCTGAAGGTGAAGGAGGAGCCTGCAGGTCCAGGCAGACTCTGAACTGTTTGCTCTCCAGAGAGTGCAGCTCTGCTCTCAGAATACCTGTAGAGGAAAATATAAGCAGCTGCTTGCATGTTGCTGTGTTTTCAGACTTAGCTTTCATATAGACAAATGCATGCCTGCTCTTTAATTGGACCTGACTGTCCAATGGCCTACACGTCCGAGGGTCAACTCTCTTTAATTCCAATTCATATTCCCCTCGTCCCACTGGACCTTAGCGGAGGTGGACTTGAGAAAATTATCCCATGTCATCTCTGATCATTATTCATAAGTAAGAGGGTGACCTTGAAAGTTACCTGGAAGGTTATATGATACTAACTGATGCTGGGGTTTGGCCCTGGGAGTGTGTAGCTGGGCCTAACAGTCTTCTGGGAGACTCTGTGCTGGGAACCTAGGGAGAGTGTGCAGTTCCAGCCTGGGCTACCTGCTGGGCCTCTGATCAGGATGCTATGGGTTGTAGGGTGTAGGTGGAAGCAGTACTGGTCTCTATACCTCATGACTGGATTGAGCTACTTGCTGCCATGCTGGTTCTCAGTCAGCAAGGCTTCCTAGGATCTGGTGGACTACTTTCCCCATGAACCTCTTTTCTAAGTTCGAGTATCATTCTTCCCAGGAGCTGTAAGAGATTAAGGTAGTATCCTTGGCTGACAATGACTGGGGTGGGGGGTTCTTGGTCTGGCGCTCATCTTAAACAGTGTTTCTGGGCTATGGCCTATATTGGGGTCTCCCATCCGAGACAATTACTCCCTTCAACCAGGCAGTCCTATGTTTGCAGCTGCTCAAAAAGAGGTGGAGTCAAGGCAGTTTGTAGCCTTTTTTTGCTGAAAAAGAGATCTAAAGCCTTTAGTGAGGACTCCTCTGCCTCTTAGTTAGGTGCCTTTGGCCTCTGAGTGGGCGGCTTCAGCAGTCAGTTGTACTTGCACACACAGACAGAATGGGAGGGGGGCTCTGGGGTTTACGAGAACCTGTCAAAGATAGGCTTGTGATTCAGAGGGAGGGCTGGATGCCTGTTACTATGGTACTGGTTTTTGAAACAAGAGAAAGCTTTACTGCAGGTCAGCTGACAAGGAGACAGGAGGCACAAACGAATCTTTCTCTGGTTGGCTGGTAGCTGAGGAATTGCCGCAGGAGCCCAGGGGACAGGGGGGCTAGCATGTGATTGGAATCAGAGAGTTTGTTTTTTCCTATTGTGATCCCTCCTGTGACTATCAGGGGCACTCTTAATTCATAGACAGGTCCACGAGGCCCCCATTCTTGTGCCTTAGGTTGTGCTGGCAAGATTTTGCCCTGTCAGGTTCTCAAGTTGCTAGGGTGGCCCAGTATGACCTAGTATTCTTTGACTACTTAAGTCATTGGCCGACAGTGGCCTCCTCTGGAGGCTGGAAGTGCAATGAGAACATGTGTGATGGCCAACGGGCCCATGGCCTGGTGCCACCCTATAGAATAGGCTGGGCTAGATGGGGACTAAAGGGAGCTCACAGTAGAGTGTCTGCAGAGTCAGCTACTAGGTACCTCAGTGAGCTCTCCTCTGCCTATACCAATATTATTGGGTATTTCTTTTATATCTAATCCCAACCCCTCCTAATTCCAGGACTTTGAGTGATCACATGACTTGAATAGACAATCTCACACTTGACCCTTCCTCATACAGCCCCCAGTGGTCCACGGTGTCCCTGAGGAGAGAGTTCTGGTCCTCACACAGGTGTCCTTGGATTGGTACTGAAAAGAGTGAGGGTCTTATCCTTACTGTGGATGCAGCCCAGATGATCACAGCTGGAACCCCCAGAGTCATTGTGAGTTGAGATACTTGGACCTGAGGTCCATGCTGGGGCCTCATTTTCCTATATGTCCATACAGAGGAATGAAGCCTGCCAGGACCTTTCTCTCACCTGTCCTTGAGTCTAAGAATTTTTGTGAAGCCTGGTTCCATGTATTTCTAAGATCATGCAGGCTGGTCTTCACCTTGCTCTGTGCTGAGATCATCTTAGAGACAATAGAAGCCCCATGGACAGTCTCATGGCTTATGCCATGGCATCTTCTTCAGTGTTGACTGAAGACTGTACATAAGGATTCTTCGATCTTGTTTCTTAAGTCTTAGTCTTTCTGATTCTGCCTGATTCTGTATCCTGGGGTACTTAGAAGAAAGAACCATAACAGCTAAGGCCAGTCATGGCAGAGTTAGAGCCCAGGCTCTCGTCTTTCCTTGGCAGAGTCTGGGATCTATTGACTCCAGGGAAGTCTCTCTTGGCTCCCCATAGGCCATCTTATTGATTATTGAGCATGGACTCTAATCTAGGCCCCACTTCAGTTAACAAATGACTCATATTTGGGTCTGGTTTCTCTACCATTCTAACCCTAGGGGTCTTCCCAAGATCTTGGCTGAGAGAATAGAGGTATGAATAAGAGAATAGAGGTATGAATAAGAGAATAAGCAGGTATGAAAGTGCTTGCCTTTGCTATCAAAGTCCAACTCTATGGACCAGTCTCTTCCTACACATGTTAAATGCCTGGGGGTAACATCAAGCATCATAGACCAAAGTTACATAAAGTGGCCTAAGAATATTATCTTCTTTGTTTTAGAGGACAGAGACTAAGCTGAAGGTGCCAGAAGCTTCCCAAAGGCTGTGAGGAGGCTCTGCCCCAGGCTGTCAGCCAAGCTTCAGATTGATTTCTCACCATGGCTTTGTTTTCTTGTAGAAACATCACCCCAACTGCCACTGGCTCATGCATGTTTGTAGTCTGATTTCCCACCATGAGGACAGCAGTTACCTTATACTCCAGCTTACTCTAATGACTTTACGCTAACTTGATTTCCTCTGTAAAGTTATCATTTCAAATAACATTATAGTTTTGGATGCAGTTGGTTGGGACATCATAGGTTCGTCAAGTCTAAAGCTAACCCAGAACTGTGCCCCAGGGAAAGTAAGGGCTGTTAGACTTCTGCTGCAGCCACTGCCACACTGAGGCTTGGTAGACTGCCTAGCCTCAGCTCCACTCTGGTCTGTGATGATTAGTCTACAACTTATTTGGCTTGATGTCCTTGGGCTTGTTGATATAGCCCTAGAAAATGTCTTGGAGTCAAGTTGGTCACTTGTGTGGATAGTATTAGAACGTTTCAAAAGCCTCAGGATTCCTCTTTCCTCCTATATCGCTCCTTTCCCTTACTGTTTGTCACTGAGACTTCCTGTGAACTTGAATTCATAGGTAAATTCAATACGACACAGGAATACATCCTCTTCTGGAAGCTCATTCTTGACCAGCATTGTCCTCTTCAGGCTCTGGCAGTCCACCTGTGGTGTTTCTGGACAGCATATGTGCATTCCCCCCCCATCTCCCATGTGGAAATAGCCCCGAGAGGCTGATGTGTCTAGTGTCTGCACTTGGACTTGACCTAGGCCATATCTGTCCAGTCCTATAGGCTGTCCCCAAGCTCTTGCAAGACCTTGACTTTAGTTACCTCTGCTCAGTTCAGGTCAGCTATGGAACTCTTCTCCTTGACTTCAAGGTCTCAGTCTGAGGGCTTTGGAACCTAGTCCAAGAACAAGGCTGAGACCTGTTGGCATTACAGATCATCATCAGCATGTCAACTTCAGGAGACACTGTGATCCACAGTCCTTATGTCACAAGGATTATCTGGTCTACCTGGATGCCAATAAGTAGCCTATGTCTCATCCAAATGTCTCAAGCCTCAAGCTCCTCTTTGTTGCAGAAGTAAGGCACCCATGGCTGCTGGTTGCCCCTTCTTCCGGGAATTCCAGTGGTTGCCTTTGTGCCCATGTCCCCACTTAGGGGTACCTCCTGCCACAGAGCCAACCTACCCGAACAGAGTCCCTATTTAAGCTACTTTTTGCTTTGTTTAATTGAGCCTTGGGGCTGGCTCTTGAGCTCTGAAATGGCTCCAGTTCCATACTTCCCTATTTAATAGCGTATAGCATCAATGGTCAACCCTCTTGGCAAGGTTACTAAGAGTGTCTTTGGTTCAACCTGGCCAAAGGGGTTCCAGTAATGTCTAACCAGGGGCTCTCACATTCTCCTGGGTCAGTCCCTGAGGTTGGTAACTCTTACTCAGCATCTGTTGGGAAGCCCATATTTGCTGTATAGTTTGCCATTGCTTTGTCTTCATGAGCACTGGGAGCTGTCCATCTGTCTTTCTGCTCATGTAGAGGTTTCCACGTGTGATGGCTTAAGGAGCATCTGTGATCTCCCTCTAGAGGTGGTGACTGTTCTCCCAGGAGCAGTAGATAACTCTTCCTATGGGAAAGATATTTGCACATGAATATTTCAGCAATTCACAGTTATGAGCTTTTCAATGGTGCACATGCACCGTTATTATGAAAGAGAAGGATGGTAGGGGTCTTCATATGGAACACACCGCCCCACATCTTCTTTACCCATGCACAGCTATAAACACCAATCCTTCCTAAAAGCACTGGCCACTCTCTCAAGAGACCTATACCAGAAATGTTTCTCCCATGCAATGCAATGAATCCTTGAAATATTACTCACACAAGCTTTTGTTATAGGCATTGCCAATGCCCGTGTTCAATTACAACAAAAGAGATAGAAGTAGCCGTGTTTACACTGGACCACATCACCCCAAATCTCGTTCAAACCATGCAGTGCCTCAAACCACCACTACAGTATGTGACGGGCAATTTGCTTACAAGTGTTAGCACTGTGAGTTTCTCCAGAGTTGCTGGGCAATGGATGGACCTGCCTCATTGATGCTGACTCCACGAGGAACTAAGCTCTTTTGTAAACACTGTTTTGTCTCTAGATTGACTTGCCTGCTTTGCTGTCTCTGAATGAAGGGATGATCAGGAAACTGGCCATGGATCTCTATTGGAAGTGATGATTCCTGGGGTTCAGTGGTTAAAGACTACGCCTCCTCAGGTTCACTCCTGGGACCTGCAGCACCTTCCTTCCACTGTACAGGTCTTCCCTCTTCGGTTCCTTCCTTCAAGCGTGGTTATTTCCAGAATCTGGGCATGCTGGCTGCTTATAGCATCCTTCCTTGCCGTTCCTGCACCCCCATGTCTGTCCTGCAGAGCTGACTCCCCTTTCTTTTTAAAAAGCTATTGATTTTTATTTTTCATATGTGTTTATACGTGTATATGTTTGTGCACTGAATGCATGACTGCTGACTGCAGGGGCCAGAAGAGGGTGCCATGTGCCCCGAAACTGGAGTTATAGACAGTTGTAAAACTGCCATGCAGGTCCTGGGAACCCAACGTTGGTCCTCTGCAATAGCAGCCAGTGCTGTTAACTACTTGGTCATCTCTCTAGCCCTCCTGGTTCTCCTCCTCACCTCTTCTACCTGACATTTCCAAGGCCAGCAGCCCAGAAGAGACGTTATAGTCACTCTGTTTACATGCAGACTGATGTTAGCTTGATCTTTCTCAGTTGAGCACAGGTCCAGGGTTTTTCCAAGAAAGTCTTCAGTTCCATAGACAAAGAATGGACTTTGGCCTATGATGGTTCCGGAGTATCTGCTTCTGGCTGGTGGGAGTAAGATAAGCCTTTGAGTCTCCTACTGGGACTGCCTTCTGCCCTTGCTGACTCTGTCTGGTCTACTTCTTCCTCTGTTCCACTGAGTCAGACTCACAGATCTCATAAGGACATCCAATGCTCGAATGCTGTCTTCCTGACTTAGTTTCTTTATGTTGACACAAAACTGTTCTCTCCTTGGCTAGAGACTGTAGCTGGGGTCTCTGCTGTCTATATTCCTGAGAGCTACATTCTGATCCATAGGCAGAGGGAGAGGGGGGAAGAGGGAAAGAGAGAGGCTCTGAGCTTGGCATGGCTTTTGAAACTTCAAAGCCCACCTCCCAGTGATATACTTCCTCCAACAAGGCCACACCTCCTAATACTTTTAATCCTCTCAAATAGTGCCACTACCTGGTGACTAAGCATTCAAATACATGAGCCCATGGGAGCCACTCTTTTTTATTTTATTTTTTTGGGAGGCTTTCCTAGAACTTGCTCTTGCAGACCAGACTGGCCTTGAACTCACAGAGATCCGCCTGCCTCTTTCTCCCAAGTGCTGGGACTAACGGTGTGCACTGCCACCACCGCCTGGCTACAAGAACCGTTCTTCTTATTATTATTCAGAACCATCATGTCTTTGCCAGCTCCTCTCCTGGGAATAGCCGCTCAGACGCCTCCCTCCATCTCTTAGTATGTGCTGTGCTGAGAACAATTTTGCCTTATCTGCCTGGGGGACCAATATTTTGGTTGCTACCCTTTAGGAGAGTCGGAGAGTCAGATTGCTTAACTTAACAAAGTGATACCAGACTGTTCTCTGGAATAGCTGCTCAGGGCATATTCACAGGGGAAGGCATCCATATTCCTGTCTCCCTGAATTCCTATTAAGAATCCATATAACCCAGCTATGTAGCACACAGCAGTCTAACTGGTATGAAGGGGATTCCATTGTGTCATTGGCATTTCTGAGTTTGAGCGTTTTCTTAGGAAACATTTTGCACGGCCTTGACCTTGCCTTTCCTTCTGGGGCTTCCCCTTGGTCTCATTTCAAAGGACATTCTCTCAGTCAACATGTTGACCCCTCATGGAGTTTAGATAGCACGTGTCATTCTGGCTTCCATAACCTGATTCTGAGCTCAATGGAAGAAGCTTGGTTTAATTCACCTCTGATCAGAGTCACATCTCTGCTCTGTGGTTTATGTCATTAGTCCCACATAGTTCTTTCCTAGCCCACAGCCACATAATATATAACTTACATTCCCTTCTATTAGGTTTTTTTAAAAATAAATTTGGGCTCTTACAAAAATGGCTATGTCTAAGAAACTTCTCTAGACGACTAGATGCACAGATGGTGTGGCTCTTAACTGGCTGTGTAATAGAGGATGATTTTGAACTTCGGCCTCCACCTTCCCAGCGCTGGGATTACAGGTGTGCTGCCCTGCCTGATTTACATACAATGATGTGATATTCAATCTTCTTTCCTCTTCCCTCTTGGATGAGCTTGTTTCCCTGCCCTACTTAGACAAGTGTGGCCTTGGATCAAGATTTGTAACTGCTGCTTTTCCACTGGTGCACCTGGGCCTTGCTGCTTTGTTTTGTGTGTCCTTGTACTCAAACCTCACCAGCTTTGTTTCTGGCCCCTCTCGCCAGGACACGTTCCCTTCACGCTGCTTTGAGGTTGACTTAGCTATTTGTAGACCCTCTTCTCCATAGGATTTTAGAGTAAATTCATATTTAAATAAAAGAATTTGAGATTTCACTGACTTTAGAAAGTAATCTGGCAATAACCAAGACTTCAAGTATTTTATGGTCTTAAACTAATTCTCTTATTAGACTTTAAGGGAATGCCTTAAAAAATGTTACAGAATGCCTTTTCCTGATTTGCTAAATCTACTAGTTCCTAAACAGGGAGCTCATTAGAAAGACTACGGATAGACTTTATCATTTACATGTGTAAATGAAGACATACTGCGGTAGGCTTTCCTGAAATCAACTTTCGTTTCTAGAATAAAAGCTACTGGATCACAGCATAATCCTAGCTGGCGACCTCTTCGGTGTGCTGTGTTCTTGTCCACAGGTGACATGGTCTGAACTTTCCTGCCTGGGATTCCAGTGACCTTCCATAGCAGTAAGAAAGCCATTCCAGTGACCTTCCATAGCAGTAAGAGAGCCATTCCAGTGA